ATTTTCAACTCCTTCCTCAGTCAAGCATATCCTTTTCAGCTTTGTCTACTGTCAATGGAACAGTTGTTACTCAAAGCCCATCCCTTTGTTCCTTAGATTTAATAAATCGGGGGTGACCTGCTTTTCAAAATAGGGTTTTGTGGTAATCTATTGTACAGTTTCCAGTGTAACATTCCTCTGGACTCTCCACTGTGCTCCCCTTCCCCTTCTACAAGTGGAGTACTGGAGTCCTTGCCACTTAACAGCTGCTGGGGTGTTGAACCATGAAAGCTTCCTCCTGGATGTGCTTAGTCCAATTCAGTTGAGAGTAGGTTGTTGTTTTTCTAACAGTGTAGATGATGAAGATCCCTCCTCCAACCATGTATGGGAACTAAATTACCTGATCCTGCCTGGTCATGGACTGGAGATGATCCACCAAAATGCAATTCACCCCTTCAGTTGGGGAACCCCATTCTACCATCTCCTAGAAGTAAGTTCCCAGGAGATCTGGTGTTGGAAAGGAGCTGGACCAGCCAATAAATATACTGATCAGCTGGATAACCCCCATGCTATCATCTCCTAGATGTTGGTTCCCAGGAGGTCTGGTTTTGGAAAGGAGCTGGATCAACCACCAGAAAAAGTCTGTCTGGTTTTGGATTTGAGTAAAACATCTCATTGCACTTCCCTTCCTACTGTCATTTGGATATTGGGTTCCAGTGTGACTGGTTTTGGTTGTGGATCTACACATGTGCCCTAACTAGGAAGACTGAATGGAAGGTTGTTCCATTCTGTTTCCCTTACTTGAGGGGAAGATGGTAGGGACCTTTCGTGTACCACAGACCAAACTTTAAATACCCGATGGCACCTGGTTTGGACTGAAATTGACCCAATGCATACGGTCTGACACACCTTAGCCATTCTACACCATGGGGCACATCCAACTATATGTTAAACTAATCAACTGGGAGAACCCACATTCTACCATCTTCTGCAGGTTTGTTCTTAGGAGTTCTAGTTTTGAAAAGGAGCTGGACCAGCTGGCATATTCACAGTCAAGGATGTGCTCCTCTTTTATGCCCAATTTAGTGACACATATTTTAATGATGGGCAAAGAGTATACCTGGTTTAGATGTGCTCTTCTTGTATACCCAATTTAGCAACATGTTTTCATGATAAGTGAAGAGTATACCTGGTTCAGATGTGCTCCTCTTTTATGCCCAACTTAGCAACACATATTTTCACAATGGGCAAAGGGTATACCTGGTTCAGATGTAGTGTGGTTTCCCACAACTGTGTTTCTCTAATAAGAGAAGTCACACTCCAGGGGCATTCTTTGGACACTTTCTGAAAGGTTCTCATCTGGGTAACGTTTGCACCAGTCCCTCCACCAGGTCAATGTGGGATTCTAGCTATTATGTGAGATGAGGTAAGATATTGTATTGGAAGTTAATATTTCCCTACATGGAAAATATATTTCTGATGGATATGTACCTCCTTTCACACTTCCCACCTTTCCTTTTCATTCTGGTGCTTCTTTTTTGCCTAATTTCAAAGTGAAGATTTGGTTCTACAGTAAAGAGGGAGCCAGTTGCAACAGAACACTGTGTTACTTTCCTATTTCTGGAGGGTTGTCACATGCCTATTTGCATGCTACAATGCAGTTGAACCACATCAAAACATGGGGTAGTGGGAGTTTCATGGCTAGTGGTGAGCATATAGAGGGAAGCACTGAATGAGTGGAGGTAATTATCTATCAGAAATATATTTTCAGTGTAGGAAAATATTAACTTCTGAAGGGTACTGTTCAAAGCTTTATTTATCAACAACATGAATGTGTGCAATTTGGACAACAGGTTTGATGGGTAAGAAAGATGAAATGCAGAAAATGAAGGTCCAACAACTATGCAAGAGATAGAAAATATTATTTGCAAATTACCAATTCATTTCGATCTTAAAGTTATTCCCTGCCTACTTTCTATCTTTGTGTAGGACAAAAATAATCCAAATCTTGATAAAAATATTTGGAGAAACAGATCATAAATCTAGTATCATGGTCAGGGATTCAAACTAAGTAGTTCAAAGTTAACCCTATCAAATACAATATTTCTATACTGTTTTAAAAGGATGGTATTCAACAGATGATAGGATATATATAAAAGTAGTGAAGTACCGGTGGTTGGCCCCAAATGACATAATGCATGTTTAACCCTTATAATACCAACTTCTTTTTATACCATACTTTACCATTGGAGTTCACATATTGAATAATTTTATGTTTTTGGCTGTTGAAATATTTAGTGTAATGAACTCAACAAAACTGGGTCAAATCACTCATTTTCTATAGCTTTATTTGGTTGAAATCTATAGTGCACACAATCATGTCCCATAAGTAATTTGGTGAATAAATAGAACCACCCCATTAGCAATTATTGATTTAAAGCTTGTATTAAAATATGCTTGAAATATTGACATTTTAAGCAAACTAAGAACATGAATGATGAATAATGCACCTTTTCCCACACAAACATGCATTTGCAAATGATAATACAAAAGATAGGGAGGCAAGCTAGAAAATATCTAGTCTACACATAGTGGTAATGATAATACCAACCTCAAATTAATGTCAGATGAGACGGAATATACATTTTAAAATTTTCCATTACTGATATTTTGAATTCAGTTTGAAGTTTACAAAACCAATTTTGAGTTCAGTTTCTGTTAATCCAAGTTACAAGTTCATAGCACTGATGATTAGGAAGATATGTTACATGTTCATTCTTGAAAGTTCCACTAAAGCTTGAATAGTTTAGGGTGCATGAAAGGAAAGGAAATGTTTTATGAAATAAATTTCACTGTATTTTCAGAAAGCTTGGCAGGTAACCATGATGCTCCAGTGCGATGTGTGGAGTTCTGTCCTGAAGTAAATATGATCATCACAGGCAGCTGGGACCAGACAGTGAAACTATGGGATCCACGGACACCATGTGGTGCAGGAACCTTTTCTCAGCCAGATAAGGTATGTTAATTTTAAATACTCATTTATTATATTCATATGTTATTTTTATTCTTACACCATAATTTATTAACATATACTGATAAGAACTTTTTTCTGTTATTTCTGTTACACATACAGACAGTCGTTTAGAGGAGGGTGCAAGACCAAGCAGTTTACCTTTTTTTCCAAAAATACTAATAAACTTAAGTTCAATAAACATATATCAAAAGGTATATTAAATATGGGCCTGGTACTTAAATATCAAAATTAACTTTTAGAGTTCACAGAAAAATGTATGTAGGATTACCTCGACTACATGAATATGTATATAACCACTTTTGCAGGATTAAAAAAGATTTTATTATTTATATACATAGTATAGCACATCAGGTTTAATATGTATATCACATAGTATGTGTAAAGTTGATGTATGTTGTAGGATATCATGTCTAATGTTTATTGTGTAGTATGTGTAAAGTTGATGTATATTGTAGCATACCATGTGTAATATGTATACAGTGTAGTAAATGCATATTACTTTTGATATGTATATAGTTTGGTATGTGTAAATTTGATATATATTGTAGGATACCAGATGTAATATGTATTGATAGTGTGGTATGTGTAAAGTTGATGCATATTGTAACATACCTGGTTTAATGTGTACAGTGTAGTGTGTGTAAAGTTGATGTATATTTTGTGATAGCAGGTTTAATAGGTATATAGTGTAGTTTGTGTAAAGTTGATGTATATTGCAGAATACCAGGCTTAATACATATATAGCGTAGTATGTGTATATTTTAGGGTATTAGGTTTAACCCTATTGCCATGGGCATCTTTTACTGAACATGTCATGAGGTTTTTAGTGAGTTGCTTTCAAAATTTAATAAACTACTGTTTGTTCATGTTATATTAGTTAGTATAGCATAAAATCTTAGCTAGTAATCCATATGTTAATAGTATATGAGTTTTATGTTCTTAATTTTATAAGACAATATTTTAGAAAATCCTTAATTTCCTCTATTTTGAATAATGTGACATTTTTTCCTTCTAGGCATCCTCTATTCTCTAATTTATTTACCACTCCTCTAACAAGTACAAAATTTAACATTTATTACTTATTATAATATTGTCATTGCTCAGATAAAGCATAATTTTCATAGCCTTCAATCTTGTTTGGTTACAGAAACCTCTTGCCATGGCCACCTGTCACATCCTCTCTTCCAGGATTTGTCAATAGTTCTCTCTTATGTTTAAAACTATATTATTTATAACCAATAGAAAGCCATGGTTTCCAATACGGTACCTTACCTCTGCTTACATGTATAGCTATTCTCATTCAGTGCTGCCCTTTATAGGCAAAATTGTTTTCGCATGCCACAAGCCTTGAACTCCCACATACTCCACAATCAACATGGTTCAACTGCATCTTGCATGTAAATCATCATGCGACAGCTCTCCACCAATAGGAGTGCAACACACCCTCCTGATGCATTTGACTTCCTCTATCCAATTCTACCAAACTATCAGTTCTTGTTAGGCAGTGATTGAGTGCCGATGTTTTTCACTTGTGCTCTTTTCATGTGTTAATTTCTTCTTTTTTTTTTGCCATGATAACTTTGTTTGTTTTTTTTCTTCTCGTTTTTGACTTCTTCACAATTTAAGGTGAATTCCGAAGATTGTGTTTTAAAATGTCTGCTATTATTACCACTACTTCAAGTGCCATTACTAGCTTCAGGTCTGGAGGTCTCGAATGAGAATTTTTCAGCTATCAGTTGCTGGGAGATTGATCATTGTATGAGGTGTCCTTTTGCTAACGATCACATGATATCAACAACCACTTGATAGTATTGCCTGGACTAACAACCCTTGGTCCTGTCTGAGTCTTAACCCATGCACTGATTGGTTGAAGTGAAAGAAAGAAGAAAAACAAAATGATTCAAAATTAGTAATGTATTGTGCAACCGCACCAATTCATTTCTGAAAAAAACATGAAGTCTTGTGTGCGAGTACTCAGATAGTCATGTACTTATTCTGCTCATCCCAGCGATATAGGTTAGGCCTTATGCCTCTTCTGTTTCTAAACACAGGTGAAGAACATACCCTGGATGAGATGATATGCAGTCTCCCACAGTTGTGCCTCCATGGAGCCCATGCTGTACAGTGTCACACCCCATGGGCTTCCTTTGGATGCTTGCTGGAAGGAGCACATCTAGGTAAATTTCACACTGGTCCCTCCCCTATCTCAATGTGAGGTTCTAGCTATCTGTGTATTGAAAGTTAACATTTGTTCTGTATGTTCCCATCCATCCTCCCCACTTTCCCGGTGCACTTTTATTTCTTACCTTGTCAAGAATGAGGATTTCCATGTTTGAATGTAGCTGGAGAATTTGCAGAAGGTGTGTTGCATTCCTATTGATATAGAGTTTTGCTTCTTGATACATCATCATGCAGTAGCACAAATTCACGTGTTTCAGGTGAATTTTAGGTGGGAGTTTTTACAAGGCTGGTGGCATGCAAGTCTCTCAGGCAGAAAGTATGACTTCAAGAGGTAAATAGCTATCTGTATATGGAGGTGAGTATCTATCGGAAATACGTTTTCCGATAGGGAAAATGTTAACTTTACATCAAATACTAAAGAAGTTAGTACTGTTCATTATAGCCAGTAAGGTCAGTCTAGAATAAGGTCATGAAAGATATAAAATTGGAATTAAATTCAATGTTTTTAAGCTTAAGTTAATCTTTCCAGAAATTCTGTTGTTTGTTCAAACATACAAATGAAGATCTTGCATAGAAAATATGTATATGTGATGAATAAAATACATTAATATATCAAACCAAATCCTTTACAAACTAGAAAAATGTAGAAAAACTAAATTTCTTTTGATACTTTATCATTGTGTATATGACAGATTTTAAATGTTGCAAATGTATTTTTCCTCTCACTTCCACTTCACACAGTTGTGATTATAAGGAGGTTACTGTTTGGCACATCTGTTGTGCTTGTTTTTGCTCCCCTTTTATTAATTTGGACATTAGTTTCTTCAATAATATCTGATAACTCAAACAGCTAGCAGTTTTTCAAACTATATCATTTTATATATTAACTTTAAAATGAATTAAAGTTCCATTTGAAATTGTTTTTGTATGTAATGGATCTTATAATGTGTAATAAATACTGTAAGCAAAATTCTAAACTACAGTACTTATTGACTGATTCGCTGAACACATTCATACCTGTCATTGCACTGTACTGAATAAAAAGTAGCATTGAACTTTTATATTACTAATTTTTAAAGATTATTTGACAGTTTGGAACTTATGTTCCAATTTCAGTAAAGTAGTATACTCACCTCCTTCATTATAAGACTTGAAATGGATTCAGTGATCTTTAGAAAGGTGGTAGGGATATCAAATATTTTATGCTTACATTAATGCCAAATAATTTTCTCTGTGCATGTTATATGAATTTGTGTTTGAATCAGTTATGTTACTACAGGTCATACAGGAGTAATAGTAAATTTGCTAAGCTTGTTCATAAGTGAAGTGTTCACTAAGAAACATCCTAAGTAACAAATCAATAAGCATTATTCTTTCAGTATGGGTTTGTATTTTTTATAGAAACTTTGATGACAATTGAGTTACAGTTGGGGCCCATGAAGCAAAAAATGGGCCCAAAACAAAGATGTTGAATTAATATTAATTCTAAATAAACAATAATCTGATAAAAATTATGTTTAATTAATTGAATGATACAGTATGCCAAATGGAGATGTTATTGTTTTTACAATGGCACTGTTTTCAATCACCATACTAAAGTTATAGGTTGGAGGACCTCAAAATATTTTATTCACGTCAAGGGAGCCTCGGACTAAAAAAATTTGGGAACCACTGGAGCAAACTAACACCTTCTACATTATAACCAAATTTGTATATACAGATTATATTATTAAAAAATAACAAGTTGAAATTTTCCAACAAGCAGTAATTTCTGAATAAATAGTTCTTTAAACATTTGTTTAACAACAACTAAAAGCTTGGAATGGTCTGTTCTTTCATGGTGTTCGAAACAGTAATTTCTTTCTTTCCTTTGGGATGTATCACCTGTAAATAATTAAATTTTGATGTATCAATTATTTTGAAATAACTAGTTCATGCAGTTTCCCAGCAGTTATGGGTCTTTTTTTTGTGAGAGAGTGAACTTAAGTTTTTAAGTTGATCTTATGAACAGAGACTTCAAGTTAGATATTTGGATTATATGATCCAAGTTTTTAACAATGCACAACATTGAGATGTAGGGTGATAATACATATTTTATTGATAAGATATTTAAAATATTCCTTAAATGTATAGAAGCTAGGAACATTTATATAAATTTTTTAACACTTCACACTTAACTTTTCATGGTGGTGAAAGTCCTGCAATTTAAACAGTCATATCTATATGCCAGTTACAGTGAATTTCATGGAAACCAGACTGTTTTGGAAGGTTTTTGATTCCATGATAATTAATCTGAGAGTCGTGAATATTTCTTTATTATTATGGGAGTATAAATATCCTGTATTTAAATCTCTGAAGCAACCCATAAAATGTTAGTGTAATTTGATATCATACACGACTATTTTAACTATTATCTAGACTGATTGTCATCTGTAAACTATATAAACAACAAAATAGCATGTTATGTCATTAAAAGCTCCTTGAATTTTATCATTTTGAAGATAAAAAATCTTTGCAATCTTATGATTGAAAATAATTTTACAAATTATACGACACTAAAATCTGTTGTTTCGATACCCTGCTGTGGACATAGTACAGATAGCCCATTATGTAGCTTTGCATTCAAGCCAACAATCTTTATTTACTTTAGGGCTTTTGAGAGCTTGTGTTTTGTATGATTTGCTTCTGCTGTTGATTAATTTTTAACAATTTCACAAAGTAGCAACATGTTTACATCTAGGTTTGAAAGTAATATCAAAATGATTTTTTGCATTACAGTGTAAATATCTACAATAGCAGCAAATGTGATCTTTGAGGTTTTAATCAGTACATACATTTTTCTTTAAGACTATAACGTGATATTTTATTTGATTTAAAGGTAAAGATATCTAGTACACAGTGGACCAGTAACCTGCAAAAAAAAATGTGTAACAGGTACAGAATTTGTTACTTTTAATTGATTCATTTGCTCATATCCTTCATCAGAACATTAAATATATAAATCTCCAGTAATCATGTATCTGTTAACATATGTTGTATGAAACGTTTCATTGATGTAATCATGATCTAAAAACTGTAGGTATACACCATGGCAGTTTGTGGACAGAAACTAATTGTTGGAACTGCTGGAAGAAGGGTTTTAGTATGGGATCTGAGGAACATGGGCTATGTCCAACAACGCAGAGAGTCCAGCTTGAAATATCAAACCCGCTGCATTCGCTGTTTTCCTAATAAACAAGGCTATGTCCTGAGTTCCATTGAAGGTAAGTTGAAATACTTAAAATACATTTGTTTGGTTTGTCATTATACTTGCCAACAGTGTAGTGATGGGCTCAAAATTAGTAGTAGTCTGTTAACCTGAGGCTATTAAATTTTAGCAATTTGAATAGGCTGAATGAGTAGTGAAAATTTCAGTAGATCAGACTTTCTTGTGTTTACAAAATTATTAATACATGCATCATGGCATCGAGATCCTCACTGTATTTTGGTGTTGCTAATTGTTTCCTCTATCTTGTTGTTGAAACATCATAAAAATATATTTAAAAAACTACTGAAAGCTTAGATGTCATGCTTTTTATCTGTTTAAATTCTCTGATTGGTTGTTTATCTTGTATTCTGTCAAACTTAGCTAATGCTCTCAGTCTATTGACTTGGTTGAGCTAATCTTCATTAAAAATATGAAATAATATCAATAAATAAGTGCTATAAGGTTTGTTTGTAATATCAAAGAAGTTAAGAAAGAGGAAAAAACACAGATCACTAAAACCCTCCTTAACAATAGATATTTGTAACACATGATAGAATAAAAGAAGAATAAAAAGGAAGGAAATTACAGGCATACAGACGTATTCCCCTGTGTCAGTGGTGACTGTAAATGGGGAAATAAAAAGACTAACAATAATTACAATTCAGGAGTATTATTAACCTACAAAACTCGGTAATACGAATCTATCTGCAATAGCCCATCGTGTCGGAGAGAAGCCCGTATGGTAAAATAATACTAAAGTAATAGGATTTAAGCCACGTGTAAAAAAATTTTTTTACATCCACCTCACTGATAACATTCTCAGTCAGTGTAGCATAGAAGTCACCAACATCCTCTTGAAAATAATCAAATAGTTTATTTTAGTTCTAAAGGAGGAGAATCCAAATCAAGTAGATAATACTCCTAACATTTCTATCAAGAAAACTCGGGATCGAATCCTGGCCCCTGCAAATACAGAAAGAGTTCTTTTCAGGACTGCCCTGAAGAAAATAGCAGATTAGTAGCCGAAACATAGGCTAAGAACTAATTAATATTTACTTACAAAAAAATAAATAACATATATTTATAAAAATATTACTTACTAATTAATAATCAAAGTTAACTCTTCAGTAGTCTTCCAGGGTCTTCACAGACTCCAAATATATTGTAAATATTGGTGCAGACAGATGGAAGCACGTACATGTTTGTTGTTCTCAGTAGCTTCAGTATTTGGCTAATTTGTATTAAATTGTTACACTTAGTTTAGGTGGTAAAAAGAAACAAGTTGTAATATTCAATGATCATTTATTGATTAATAGTTTATTATTATTATTATATAAATATTTTTAAATTAATTTTTTATGATGGGGTCTACTAGGACCCTGGAAAAGCGACTTTGGAAAATTTTTACAGAAGACTAACTCAGGATTAAGTGATCATATTGGCTCTAACCATGATGACAGTTGATATCCAGTTGTCAAAACCTTAACATAAGTTCTACATATCATTAGAAAGATTTATATATAGCAATGCAGTGGTGTGTTGCCATGGAGGTGAGTCATAACAGTACTGGTAACACATTTAATACATAATGTTTAGTTCATGGTAAAATTTGACCACTTGACAATGTAGTTGACACCAAAGGCAGAATTATAGCTGGAGAATATAAAGTTTTTAAAAGAGAAATATTCATAGAGGAAGCTTAATAAACAATGCAGATTCAAGAGACTTGACATTTCAGAGAAGGAAGGTATCAATGTTCTCCAAAGAAGAGGTGAAACTTGCACAGCAGAGTGTTAAGGATAGTCAGAGGCTCTGAAGCCACTTCCCAAATCAATCAGAAGTAATGTGCTTTTATCTGTATAATGAGAGCTAGGTATAGTTTCAAAAGAAAACTCTGGCCTATAAAAGCAAATATATTGAAGTTGGTAATATTTCATTGATTATAAGTTATGACTGGAAACTTTTAAAGATTTGGCTTGTGAATATTCATCAACTTCAAATTTTTAAAAGTTCCCGGCCAAAACTTATAACCAGTATCTGTTTTCTACTTACTAATCAAGTTATCCAATGCAGCTTCAATGGACATTAACTCTTTCCATATGGGCATTCTTTTCTGCGCAACTCACAAGGTTTTACTAAGGTACATTCAAAACTTAATTAAAGTACTCTATTATCAAGGTAGGTGAATAAACTTGACATTAAAATAGAACTAATAATCCAAATTTTAATATTATATAAGTTTCAAGTTCTTACTGTTGTAGGGCAAATTTTTAAAATAAGTCCTCAATTTCCCCTAGGATGAGAATTGTGACATTTGCTCTCTAGGTATTCCCTCTTTAATTTATTTACCACCCTTCTGAGATATAAAAATTTCTAAAAAAAAGATTTAATCCTAAAATTACAGACTTGTTGTTTGTACTATTCAGTACTGGTTGAGTCCATAATTAACATCATATAGAGTAATTTATTGTTGTTCTCTGGTACAACATAATATAGAAAAGTCAAAAACATAGATGGGTGAAATCACTTGTTTCCTCTGTTTTACAGAGAAAATTAGTGATCACACTTGTACATGTGAGAGCTTAATTAAAGTATAGTAAAGGTAAAATTGAAGTTCAGTATAGTTGCTTCATTGAATCATTGTCAGTTTATCTGATTGTCAATCAATTTTATATAAATATAATCTTATATCCAAGATATTTTTTAAAATAATTGAGTGTGTTATCAAGGTAGTACAGTATTGGGCCAGTTTTGTTACCTAAATTATTATGGAAAGTTTTAGTGTCAATGTACAATACAGTTTGCTTGGCAGCCAAGTAGTCAATTGTGTGTAATTTTGTGTAATATAAGCAATCAGAGACCACGTACTTCTTTAAGGCCCTCCTTGCATACCCATCTCTGAGGAAAAGAGAAGTGAAAATAGAAACAATAAACCCACCATTTATTTTTCAGGGATTCGTTGATTTTTTCTCTGAAATTTTTTGTAATGGTTCACCCTCCACTAGCTAAAGCACTCTATTAGAAAAATAAGAGTGCCTTCACTGGAGGATCCTAGCCTATCTTTACCCAAACTTAAACTTGAGCCTTCTCTATCTGTAATACTTAGGATAAAGCACAATAAAATCATATATCTTTAACCTATTGTTCCCATAGGTAATCATATAAACTTCTACAAGATCACCTCTTATCCTTTTTTCTTGAGAGAAGAGAAAGTAAGAGATTTTAACCTATCCTTGTAAGACAACCCTTCTATCCTTCGAAACAATCTAGTAAGCCCACCTCTGAACCCTTTCGAATAAGACAATATCCTTTCTTGGGTAAGGGGAGCAAAACTTTACATAATACTCCATATAAAACCAAACTAATGATTTGTATAAACAGATAATTACCTTTGACTAGTAGCTAGTATGTCCTTAAATATACCTTAAAATTCTGTTAGCTTTAATGCTAGCAACAGAGTAATGTGTTAATGGCTTCCGTGACTTGTATACCACTATGCTAAGATCCTTTTCTTCAGTCATGTTAATGAGAGTGTTCACATGTAAATTAAACATGTAACATAAACTATGATAACTGAAATGCATTACATGTACTAAGTAAGTTAGAGGTAGTTTGCCAAGTATTTGTCCAACTTACCAAGTTATTCAAATCATTCTGTAATACCTCAGCATATTCCATATAGTTACAAATACTCAAGAGTATAATGTTATCAGCAAACATTACTAATTATGCCCTTATCAATATCATTAATGTAACTAAGAAAAAGCAAAGGCCCAAGCACTGACCTATGAGGCACTCTACAAATAATAAGGATCTAATTTAACTTGTCCATTAATATCAACCTTTTGCTTTCTCTCATCCAACTACCCAGAATCCAGTCAACTATTCTTTCTGTATCCCTCAGTGATCTAATTTTTATAACTAATCTTTTGTATGGCACCTTATCAAGAACTTTCTGGTGGTGCAAGTAAAAAAACAGGTTGGCTCATGAAGGGCATAAGGGATAAAATTATATCATCTAAAGGAAAGCATCACAAATTTAAGAAATTTAAATTGAATGATATTGATGGGAGATTTAGAAGATTATAGAAGATCAATAAAGTTGTTCAAACAGGAAATTAGGACATCAAAAATGATTTATGAAAAAAAGTTGGCTGAAAATATAAAAATTAACAGTAAGGATTTCTTTAAATATATTAAGGATAAAGTGTTAGGATGGAGGTAGGAGCTTGAAGTGATGATAAAGTAAGGCTTGTATCTGATGATTATGATATGGTTGGGTTATTAAATTCTACTTTTTCTTCAAGTTTTACTAATGAAGTTTTAAGCAATATTCCTTATCTTGAACAGTTGATAGATGGAAACGAGATCGAACAAGATGATCACATTAATTCTGAGCTTGTTAAGAAAAAAATGGGAATTTTAAAGAACAATAAGACTCCTGGACCAGATAATGTTTCCCCAAGGGTTTTGAAGAAGGTTAAGGATTGAATATGTGAGCCACTTGCTACTATTTTGAATAGTGAGCAGGTGCCAGAAAATTGGAATTTGGCTAATGTTACTTCTCTTCTCAAGGGTGGTTATAAAAATTGTCCCAGTAATTATAGGACTAATTAGTCTTGCATCAGTTGTGGAAAGTCTGATAAAAGATGCCTTGCAAAGTTATCTAGAAAAGTTTAAAATTTGATTGGATAATCAACATGATTTCACTGAGGGAAAATCTTGCCTTATAAATCTTTTGACATTCTTTGAAAAGGTTATTGCTTATGTAGATGAGAGTAAAGGTGTAGATTTGGTGTATCTGAATTTTCAGAAAGCATTTGACAAAGTGCTACATAAAAGGCTTGTAGAAAAATATCTCTATAGGTGTAGTGGATAAGTTAGCTAATTGGAGAGAAGAGTGACTGGATGGAAGAAAGCAGAGGGTTGTTATATATGGGGTTCAGTCAATCTGGATTAATGTCATAAGTGGAGTACCTCGGGGCTCAGTCTTAGGACCTTTGCTCCTTTTGAGTTACATCAATGACATTGATGAAGGAATGGTCAATAGATTACTTTAATTTGCTGATGATATTAAGGTTTTGGGTGTTGCTGGCTGTGAGGATGTTGCTGATTTACAAAATGATTTAGATCATTTAGTGAGTTGGGCAAATAAATGGAAGATGGGTTTTAATTATATTAAATACAAGATAATGCATTTGAATTATAAGTATAATAAATGAAAGGGATCTTGGTATAGTGATTGATCAGTCTTTTAATTCCATCCAAGCAGTGTGCTGTTGTTAGTGGGTAGGGCAAGTAGGATTTTAGATTGTATCTACAGAAATATTAAATAGAAGTTTAAAGAGGTTATAATTTCATTGTATGGGTCACTGGTTAGGGCACATTTGGAGTATTGTGTTCAGTTTTGGGCTCCATACCTTAAAAAGAACATTGAATTGTTTGAAAGGGTTCAGAAGAGGGTTACTAGAAGGGTGCCTGGGATGGAGGAATTGTTATATGAGGAGAGGTTTAAGATATCTGAAATTGTTTTCTCTTGATAAAAGAAGAGTTAGAGGGGATGTGATTGAGGTGTTTAAGATTGCAAAGAGAATTGATAGTGTTGATGTATCATCTTTTTTTCATACCTAATGGGGAGAATTGTAGGACTAGGGGACACAAATATAAATTTTGGCAGGGTAGGAGTCTTCTTCAGCTAAGACTCTTATTTTTCTAACAGAACAGGTTGCCTTCAGATGTTGTGGAGGCAGTAAATTTAAGCGAGTTTAAGAGAAAGCTTGATAACTATATGAATGATTAGCATATAGCATGTCAAAAATGATGGGACAAGTACTACCACCCCCAACCCGTAGTATACCCTATCCTCACATTTTATAGCTAACTGAAATGAATATGTTTTACAAAATCAAGCTTGACCAATAAAAAGGCAGAAAAGTGAAGTTGAGGCAGTCAAACGTTGGTAAATTCCTTTGTGAGCCAATCAAAATTAAGATCATTCCTGAAACGAATTTGTAGCGTATTCATAGCATAATTATTGGTAAAAATCTGTTAAATTAATAACTTCTAATATTTAGAAAAGTCAGTGCGTTTTATTATCACTACGTTCCAACAATGGCTTTTTTATGTCGTGTCGCTTAGCAACAAAAATATAATATAATATTGTTATTAGTCTATGTACTGAAAGTATAAAATGAAATGTACAGACAACATAATTGGAAAAATATTTGTTGATTTCTTAATTTAGATTTTCTGTTAATTTAAAGTTTTGTTTTTTATTAAAAATATTGGTGATATAACAGAAGATAGCTTAATTCAGAAACAATTTAAGTTTAAAATTGAATTGACATTTTTACTTTCATGATAAATTTTATGCAATTGGATCTAGGCTAGATGATCCTGCACTACTTCTTTGCTTTAGGCTTATTATACCAACACTCATAAGGTTTTGTGTCCCCCCCCCCCCTCATGGTCCCTTTGCACCCCTGTCACTAAAATCATAATGGGCAGATAGTAATCGAATTATTCTATCTGGATAAATGCATTTTGGCTTTTATGACTCCTCCTATTTCAAGCGTGATGTGACATGACACACACACTGGCTTTTAAATAGGTTAGATAAGGGCTGTTTTTGAGGTTTTTTTTTATTTATTTATTTTTATATTTAATAGTTGTAGTTTAGTTTAGAAGATGGGACAGCCTAGATTGGCCAATACGCCCCTTAAAATTATGTTATGTTAACTTGGCAGTTTGGTTTAAAAACACAATTTGAATTTTATAATTTTTCAAGGCTTTAACTTTCAGTTTTTTTTGTTTTTTTTTGTCAGTTATTCTAATTCTCACTTAATTTTTCTATATTTGTTTCTACAGGAAGAGTGGCAGTTGAGTATCTGGATCCTAGTCCAGATGTCCAGAAGAAGAAGTATGCTTTTAAGTGTCACAGAATCAAGGATAGTAGTGGTATGGAATACATTTACCCAGTAAATGCCATCAGTTTTCATAATGTTTACAACACCTTTGCTACTGGAGGTTCAGATGGCTATGTCAACATTTGGGATGGTTTCAACAAAAAAAGGTTGTGCCAGTTCCACAGGTATCCCACCAGCATATCTTCACTTTCATTCAGTACTGATGGCACTGTCTTGGCCATTTCATCCTCTTTTTTGTATGAACAGGAAGATGTCAAAGAAATTCCACCAGATGCCATTTACATCAGGAATGTAACTGACCAAGAAACTAAACCAAAATAAAGCTGACATTTTTCATTACTTGAAATTTATTCAAGTAATGCACCTCCTGTACCTTGTACAATGAATGAAATTTTTAAACATTTCATTCTTTCATTTTATAGTCAACAAAAAAAAAAGCAAATTGCCCAAGAATTAAAAAAGTTTTATTTAACAAAATATACACATTAATACATTAAGTGTGTTGAAAATGTTTTAAACATCATAAATCAGAAGCCATGAAAAAAAAAATACTATGTTATGAATATTTCTTTTTTTTAGTATAATAAACATTGATTTTAAATGTCTCTCTATTTTATTTTGCTGTAATAGATATAGGTATGTTTAGTTACACACAGGTTTTTAATATTCTGTTAGTTTTCTAAGATATGTTTTATTTAAAGAGATAAGCAGTATGTGAGATGAAAAGAAAGTTCTAAATGGCATTTCTGATTGGTGCCTTTGTTGGCACGTGATCCTTAGTCCTAATAAAACTCAAACTAATACTTTTTACTGCTATAAGGAAAATATTTCAAGAAATTCTTGCAAATTAAAATTTCCCTAAATGTCTTTTCATCAATCTTGTCAAAAACTAGTAAATTTCTGTGTATAAGTTGTCACCAAAGGCTAACTTGGTGACCTCATGTGTATGAAATTATTATTAAAAAAATAGGTTTCTTCACAAAATCTTGGCATCTCATCATGGTTGCATAACATCCTCCTTTCAGTTTAGTTATTTATTAGACCTCTAATTGAATACAGTTGCATGACCACTTCCCCATGTTCAATTTTATGTTTAAGAAGCTAAAAAAAAACAAGGTGTATAGTCACAAAGTGAGCTTACCATTTACCAGTCCACAAATTCACTACAATCAGCCAATAATTACTCCGGAAAAGCTCTAAATAATGGTTCATTAACCAAACAGTTTCTCACCTTAGCTGCCACACCTAACTTTTGAAATAAATACAAATCTACGCGTATATTGACAATGTAATTTCATATGTGAAGTGCCAATATGCACATACATCATTATTTAATTTTTTAACACTATACACTTACTGCATATTTTCACTTGTTTTTAAGTCACACCAGTTTTTGTGACTCTTTATAATGAAGTTTATGTTGCACTTTTTTCATCTATTTTTGGCTATGAAATTAAGTTTTTATTAAAAGTGCATGGTTCAACATCGATCATGGTCCACAAAGCCTGGGGCCAGTAGAAATTGCGGTTTTACTTGTTACAACATAACACCAGCTTAATTGTGCCAGTTGACTTTTTGAATTAAAAGTGTACAGTACAGAGTATGTATTTATACATACAACTGCCATTTCATTAACCCCATAGAATGAGCTAGCATCCTTAAAGACTAAGGAAAAAGAAATAAAAAATTCCTTTTTCCTTTTAATGTTCTGCACTCAGGTAATGAGTTGACACAAACTCTCCCGCTGCACATCATATTTGTACGATCAGAATCTGGCCATATGCAATGATATGACAGTGAAAAAAATGTTATGTTTCTTGTTAGTTTCCCAGACTTGCTGATAAAACTAGCAGCTTCTTTTTAGTGGGAATTCAGCATTTTGTTTACACTATTATTCAGGCTCACAATAAGCATAGCAGGTGCCTGTCTGCTGTGACTTGAGCAAATAATCCACAAGATGCCTTGATACAGCACATGGAAGCTGGACAAAGGGAGCAACCATTGTTTTTCACTTGTTTTATTTCTTGACTTAACATCAGTATCTCAAAACTAAAATTGTCCATTAAAAACACTAGCTCAGTAGCTAAAAGGGCCAATAGCTAAAACACTAAATGTAAAACTCTGAAGATACTTTTTTTGTGGTCTTGTTCATCCTCATGCTTTAACTTGAGATTCAAACACATCACAAAAGTAGGTTTGAAACAAAAGTCTTTATGTAATTGAATAATAAACTTATTAACAGTTTCAAGTTTTTTTAGATATTCTTTTATCTATTATACAAGGACATTGTAATTACACTTCAAAATTTCTTTGGTTGAAACATTTAAAATCTGCATAAACAAGAAATGACAATAACATGAGTTTACATTTTACAAGTTGTTTAGCAAGATCATATCGAAGTGTCTTTTTAGACCTAATGAAGTGAACAGTAGGTATAGAATAGTTAAGCCATCTACACAACAAGTATTGTTAAGCAATGTTATTGATTTAAAAAAAAATGGATATGTACATCATTTAAAGAACATTCCATTAGCCCAGATTACTTTTTTTTATCTTGTATGTTACCAAACTGAGTAGGAATGATTTATAAGTATTAAGTAGAAAAGTTATAAATAATTATGCAATTTCAAGTGGTCAACTTCAGGAAATGCTTTAGAATAAACATTGTGTAGTAAATAAACTTTATCTTGATTAGCCACCACTAAGGAGGGGGACCTAAATCCTGACCTTTCCTAAGCTTCAAATTTATTGCAGATATTAATTCTTATCATTGCAGACTTTCTTTCCAGAAACTCTTAAAAACTGTAAATGAGAACTATTCTTCTTATTTGATGACAAGGAACCCACTTTGAGACTAATGTACCTGATGATGACAAAAACTTGTCAAAATGTCGTACATTTGCTGTTATGTTAAACTTATATTAAAGTTTTTTCTTCATTACCCATTCAAGCCGTCTTTATGCATTAATATTCTTATTTATTTAAATAAAATGTTTTGACCATTGCTTATCACTTTCTTTATCATAATGTTTTTCTTTACATGCTTATTCAAGTTTAATCTACCTATAGCCAGACAAATGTCAGTGTTCTTGGTCAGATTAATTAGGTATTTGAACACAGGAAACATAGTTGTAACTGATTTTAAGTTTAAAAATTATATTTTCTTCACTCTCGTGAAATCTTTTAAATATGAGATTTCAATAATGTCCAGTCAACTTCAGCTCCCAGCCAAAGGCAGAAATCTTGTACTAATACATAGTGTGAAAACAAAATGGTAATAAGTCTTAGTGAACATTTATATTCACACATTTTGCTATTTATTTTCTAGTATGTTTCTAAGACCAATCAGGAAAATAGGTTGCAATGATGATGTATTAAAGACATTTTACAAGTGAAATCAGTAACTTACTACAGTTTATTTATGAACAGGGTGTCTATGTGATTGCTTAACTGGATGAAAGTCTGGCTCACTTGTGTTCAACCCATCCTTTCTCTGAAAGGAGATTGCATGTGAATGACAACAGCTATTCACAAAAATTGTCTGTATTACAGATCTTAATAAAAATCACTTTTGTTTTTATTTATATGCACGTTTATGTTGTATAAATCATTACATGGAATCTAAATCTAAAGTTTGTTTCAAGACTAACCATTTTTATACAGTAGAACTTTTAAACTATAAATATTTTTATTTAGCATTCACAGAACGTTTAACTTTATGTTATCCTGCTTCATTCTTTAAAGTATTGCCAAAAACTGTATTATTATATTTGTAGTTGTACTATATAAGAATTAAATTAAGGTATCAAACAGAGCTCACATAAAGAATTCAAATCAAAATAAAAATTGACTTGCTTAAGCCTCAGAAATAGATAAGTCAAGACATATGGGTACATTTAAGCTCTGACCTTCAAATATTAATGCAAGTTAAAGAAATGTAAAACTATCTTATTGAATTCTAGTAAAGAAACAGAAAAGAACTAGTTGAAGTTGGTGAATCTGTATAAAATGTCCAAGTTGAATTCAAGATACAGCAGCAGCAAACTATCTACAAGTTAGATATTTTTTTCATATTTTATGATTTTATAAATACAATATGACATCATACTTGATTCAGACAACAGACATTGTACAGAGCATGAACTATATTTGTGAAGTTTCAAATCACTGACTTTGAAAGCTGGTTATCTTTTAGTGATACTGATGATAAAGATGTGGAGCCCAAACTAATGGGGGCTGGAAGTTATTACAGATTTATATGTGAATTCCAGTTCTTCAGTGTTTGACTTTGCACCACAGTTTAAAAATATTCAACCTGTAGAACTTGAAAATTTAAGCTTATCTCTGGAATATTTTCAAGTTTTCACCTTCCTGTATGCTTGCACCAACAAAGGATTGAGTACTTTATTAGTAAACCAAATAACAAGGGGAAAGTATTTGGATTGAAATGTTGTGACATGTGAACTAAAGTTGTGTATGTTTTATTGGTTGGAGTAAACCAGCTAATACATACAACTGTGTACTTGGGAACAAATCATTTAGATGAATTTGATCAAACCAAAAGGTAATATAGCCATTGATGAGATGCTGGTACTATTGAAAGGGTGCCTTCCTTTGTACCAGTACCACATGCCCCAATGAACAAAGGCTGAAAGGTTACACCTGAAATTTCCAAATCGCATAGGCAATGATAAATACGATGTCAGGTATTATCCAAAAACAAGTGAACTCAGCACATCCCAAAGGATTGTTGTGTGTATTTATCTGACCATGCAATAAATCAAGGGTGTCACATTATTGTGGACAATTTGCATGTCAATAAGACTTGTAACTTTTGTGTTTACCCAAAATACACCTATTACTGGGGCTATTGAGTCCAAGTGGAGAGTACTAGAGGAAGTTGTGCAAAAAAAAACTGGACAAAGGAACTATCATCTGTTCCTGGAAATATGGCACAACAAGGCAGATGTAAATATACCGAGGACAAAGTATGTAGATATATTCACACAAAAGATGTATCATTTGGGGAAAAGCAAGTTTTTTGGTTTTTTTACTAGACATTCCACTATGAAAAATACAGTGAATTGATGGAAGTAGTGGATGCATGTAATCAAGATTTACAGGCATGACCCTTGAATAAAAACTTGGCTGGTTAAAAAACAAATAAGCATCTACATCATCTCATGGATGATGCTAAACATTTGAGTCTTGTACCATCTTTGTAAGGGGAGGGATAAGGTGTCATACTTGGAGTATCTCTTATAATGCCAGAAAGAAATGTTTTCAAAGTATTGTACTGGATATGTGTCTCTGAAGCAGCCTGTTCATGATAGCTCCATTCACAATTTTGTGATATTTGTCCTACAAAATATGAAAAAGGTATGTGCTATAAAATCAAAATCCATAAGGAAAATTATTGGTTGTTATGTAAGCAATACTGAATTCTGCTTCAACAAAAATGTCAGTGTCTGGCACAAAGCGAATCTGTCATATTATATTCTCCTATGTTTTCACTCATTGGTTCTTAGGAATAATAAATTTCAGGTACATATTTATTTTTGTCTATAAGCCTCATTGGTGTTTTTGTGCAAAAAAAAGATAAAAACATTTATTGTGTGCATATATGTCATATTTATAGAAGGAAGTCTCAGGTATTTACTATTCATACAAAATTACTTTGTGTCTGTTTTACTTCCAATACAAGACTGCCAAACATGAATATATTGGTACACAGTGCCTAAAGGGTTAATGGAAACTTGATATGTTATTGATTTATTGTCCATTTGTTCATATTTTGTAGCAATTTCAAGGCTGAAAGGAGCATTTAAAATTTGTCAAGAAACTGGTACCTGGCATATGTTTATATTTTACATCTGTAACTGAAGTGATTAAACAAGGGAGTCATATTTTGTGGATTATTGTTTTTAATTGTAGGTGTGAAAGTGTAACTTAATATTTTTCAAGTTTGTAAAATATTTATAAATAATTCACATTCTTTCAGATTTTTTCATTACCTTCAATTGGTTCTTACAGATGTCCACTAGCATTAAAGTTGGGAATATTAAAAACAAAGTAATGATTAATGAAAAAGTGTTACAGTGTAACATTATAAAATGATTCAACTTTATATCTTACTCAAGGCAACACCAGATAGAAACATTTAAACAATACTGAATTACCTCTATCATAATATATATATAGATACCGCAATGGTGTGAATTAAAAACTTGTGTCTAACAGTAAGTTCACATCAGTTTTCATGACATTACAGAAATATTAACTTTCAAAACTATGCAACAATAACAGAATAACCAAAATATTTAGATATATATTACATGACACAAATTTCATTAAAGACAGACAGTTAATCAAAACTAAGCTTTTCCAAATATACTACAGAAATTTATGGTACACACAGAGTTGCTAAACTAATTTCTTAGCCTCAAAGAAACTTTTCAAGTGCTTCATCTGCCAAAAGCCCATAACAAGAAGAATGAAGGTCTGGGTAATTGACCACCATAGTACTCGCTGATTGGTACTCTCACTGGTTCCCCGGAAACGTTCCTCACGATACTATTAAATAACAACACTTTTAGCAATTGTATATACATGTTGTAAGTGAACAATCATTTAAAAACTAAAAAAAGACCACTGTTGAACCTTAATCACATTTTATGATTATGTGAAATTTAAAGTTGCATGTGGAAATCAATGTAATGAATTAAGACTGTTCTAGTGACTTCTAATATATTTAAAATCATGAAACTAAATAACATAAAAGCTATTACATTCATGGCCAACTTTGTATGTTCTCACTGATAAATATTTAAAATTCATATTATCATGACAAAATAAGGACCAAGTATTAAAAATTTTTTTAACCTACTGGAAATACTATATACATAAAATCCATTGAAACATTGACCTATCCTTTTTGATTATATTTTGTCTAGGTTTTATAAACATTCTTTTCAGGTTCAAATGAATATTTCTTTGACTGAAACGATCATAGTTCCTATATTTCACAGCTTTTATAACCTATCAATTTGCACAGTTTTAATAGACATAACCTGGATGTACATGTAAGTTATACTAGTAGTGGCATTTTGGATTAGCACTTCATGGAAAGGAAGTGAACTTTCAACTCATCAGCATGTTATGAACACATTAAAATGTTACATTAATCATGTCCTATACCATGGATGAATTTCAAAAATATTATAATAAATAAAAATAATACTTATTCCAGAAGGACTCAAATTGATCAAATTTGATTTCAATATAAATCTCATTTATCAATAAGAAACAGCCTATATTTATAGATACTTTTATTAAACATTCCTTTTTAAAATTTACATTCAATCTATCCATTAGTTTTTAAACAGACTGTACAAGGAGTAAGATGCTAACTGAAACTGAAACCAGTTTTGCAAACCAGAGAAAATATTTTAGAAGATGACTTTCACTTTCCATTGTTCTCTTATTAATTGTAAAAAAACTTTAAAAAGGTTTGTGCTCCAAACACTTTGTAAAATAAAATAATTAATCTCTAAAATTTTAGGTAATTTTGAATTGATAAAATATCAAATTATTAGGATTTCTTATTAGTGAAACCAACAAGGAAATAAATACACAGTACTAACTCTTTGATAGTTCTGCTCTTTTGTTATTTGCTCTGCCTGATCCAACAACTGTCGAACTCTCAGCTGTAGTTCTGTGAGCTTCTCTTTTTGTGCTACATTTCCATAATCCACAGCATGCTCCCCAACTTGAATATCTAGGTGAACTCTCTGGAAAATATTCATACTCAGGTTATAATACCACTATGACGTTCTATCATTCTATCAATACTTTTAACCTGTATTGATTGGAAAACTTAAGTTAAAAAGAATCACATTCATAGGGGCACCAATACATGATATTATATAAGAAGAATCTTACTTCAACTTGACTTTACATTAGCAGTAGCCTGAAAATCTTATTATATATACATTATAACACATGAAAAATGACAGCATATTGCCTAAATGTTCAAGTGAATTATAACTTTTCATAACATATCAAACCATGATCTTCAACTATGACTGGTATATCTTTCAATGGAGCAGTGGTTCTCAACGTGGGCCATATGTCCTCCAAGGGGCACCACATGTGAATGATGGAAAATTAGGGGGCCACAGTAAATTCTGACGGGCCACTGAAACATCACTGCCCGAATAAAATATTTCAACAGCGCAAGCTAGATTCAAACGTGACAAACATTATTTCTGGATAAGTAGTGAAATAGCTAATAAGTTTCCACAGCTCTGGGAGAAGGTAAAGTTGTATTTTATTGCTTTTTCCACATCTTATCTGGTTTTAGTCAGGTGACTTATTTGCTATCAAAAATACGTAACCGCCTTGATGTTCTTAAGAGAGATGATCTTTGCTTATCACTGACCACACTGCGACCAGACATTCAAAAACTTTCAAGTGTTCATCAGGCCCAAGGATCACACTGAATAAAATGTCAATGATTAACAGAATATTTTTTACTTGTATAAGTAAACAGTATGTTATAAACAAAATATTGTAAAAATAATATTATAAATATATTATAAATCAACAGAGTGGAAATAAAGTAATTTTTTTCCTAAGTAACAGAGTCTATGAAGGGTGGGGCCACAGAGATAAAAAAAAAGGTTGAGAGTATCTTGCATATTTTGATTAATAAAATTTCTTCCTTTTAAAACTGTTTAAAGTTACAACTTAAACTGTTACTACAACATTTATCATGTATAACTAGAACTCTAATTGTACAGTAAGTCATTTAGTTGAGAAGTAATGATTAGTAACCACAATAGTAATCATTGTAAATTAAGTGATTTAAGGAAGATCTGTTCTTTTTAATATGGGATATTGTTTCTCTTGGCAGAAATGCTAATAACAGATTTATATAAGTGTAATATATGAAAGGCTAAATAAATGCTTCAAAAAATAAAGGAAAAAAGATGGCTCCAGATTTTCATCCAGCGAGCTTGATAGTTTGTTAGATGGTACCAGTGGTTTGGTGTGATAGGTTTAGAGTTTTTTTGTTGTTTTTTTATCTGGCTGGTTACACAACTGTTTGAATAGTAAGCATTTTTTATATAAAAAGATTTCATAAACCCATCTAGGGAATTTAAGAATCTCTTCATACAAGATGAAAGTAAATCATGACTAACTAAAGAAGTATGCAACTTTTTAAAACTTCTTGCCCAAGAGACAAATATGGTAGAAAAACCTACCTGTTCCCTCTCAAGTCTCACAAAAGTGTAAATATAACTTTTAGGCTTCAGTTTTTATTTAACAGTGAACATAATCAGTATAATGACATTGCTAGCTCAATTTCATTAAAAATGACATGTACCACATTTTTAATGAAAGCTTTTCTCATATATTCATTCAGGTATTTTGTGTTTTTTTACACTTATTCATTAGAATGTTGCAGTGCAGCATATAGAATACCACACTCATGAAGTGATTAAGAAATTATCATTTATGCTAATACCACCACAATATAGAATGGTGTTTTAACAAATACACACAGATATATATATATATAGCTTAGAAACTATTGATTACATTAATTGTTAACAGGAAATTAAATCAGCACTATAAAACAATGATGAATTAAATATTGCAATACCATTATTGGTCCAGGTTGTTCACTCATTGTCATATTGGATAATGACTGTGGGAATAGCACCCAGATGCATTGGGGACATCCCACCTATCAGACAAAATCCAAACGCTGATGTTAAACTAGTCAGCTGTCATAGAAAATCAAATAAGGGTACGAAGCTGAATGCTTACACCCACAACGTCTCAGCTTCCACTGCTTTTCACTGTCTATAGCCACTTGTGGAAAAGGCAGTTACCCTTAAATTTCTTTAAGTAGGAATGAAAGTACCCTAACATTTCTACTAATTAAACTCCCAACCTATAGGACAAATAATAATGTGATATATATATATATATATATATATAAAGATAGAAAATGCGTGTTTGTTTGCACCCGAAGTCCTCTGAGCCTTTTGGGCTAATCTCAACCAAAATTTGTATATAAACACTATGAACTATGTGGAATGTCCTAAGGAGGGTCAAAATTTGAACTTTTTTACTTAACCCTATTTCTATTTTGTAAAGCCTGTTGGTTAATTATTCCCAGCCTATTGAGTCAATCCCAAACAATCTTGGCAGGTTGATGCTTTAGACAATGTTGAATATTCTAAAGGGATTCAAGATCAAAGTATGAAAGTTGCTGGATTGTTTCTCAACCATGCTCATCTCATGTTTCAATAGAAGTCAACCAATGTTCTGTCGAAACATATAGTATGTCACTATAAATTAAACTATTCCTTATGCTTATAAATTGTTGTTTGCTTTCCTATTATAATGTGTATCTTCACCAAATTTTCTCAAGATCTTAATAAACATTGAGAGTCTGTCGTACACAAAAAACTTTTAATAAAGTATTTCTACTAAAGATTTGTCTGAATTTCCAAAGCCCTTACTAAATCAGTCTGTATAAAAGGAGCTTTTTCATACTAAGAATAAAACTATTTTTTCCACCTTAAAAGTTTTTCTTTTCTAATTTGTATAAACTACAGAATATATTTTATTTTCTTTACCCTAACACTCATTATACATCAATCATCAATGTACAGTAAAATATGAAATAAAATAAGTAATATCAGTTTTTCCTCTGTACTAACTATAGTATCAATCAGAAAGTTTAAAGTTACTTATCTTTGTTAACCTTTTCACTTCTGTTTTCGTTTAATATTATGGTTTTATTGCTGTACTTTGGGGGAGAAGTTGTGGTAAATAAACATTCCATACATTTCAGTTCCACCCTTCCTATTTTAATATAGTATTATTCTGAACTTAAAATCTATTCTGAGTATGTGATTTTCACATGACACATGGTCATGAAAGTTTTTAAGCTAATATTGTTCTAGTTGCTTTTGTTCCTTGTCATTATCTGGAAATAACAGCTGTTATGCCCATGGGTGGAATGGCTGTAATGCTGAACATTGTGCAAAAATGTGGACAGCTGTGTCCTCCAATGGTAGTTCAGATGATACCTTGATGTTACTACCTCCCTTGTGCTTAAATGAGAACAATCAGTCATGCATATAGTGCTAGTCACTCTGGGTAGATCCAATTTTACAAAATAATGAACTTTGAAATTAGACATTATGATAGATGATTTTGGCCTGACCAGTTGAAAGTACCCATTCCAGTAAAAGCATGCACACAGCAAATTGAAAAGATAGGATATAGAATTTTAGATTGTTAATTGTAATTATATAAAGTTTGTGTTTCTATTTAATTGGAACCTAAAGCAGCTAATTTTTTACATTAGAAAATCCTGTGGTGGAGAAACTGGTGCTCAGATGCATCACTTGGCACATAAAAATGAATATTGAGAATTTGTAAATTAAGATGTTATATTTAGATAATTTAAAATTTGATAGATTGTTTAGGCAGAGTATTCATGATAAAACTGCCTGTTGCAGAAACACAAGTGTAGTGGACGACATTTCGAATATCTTCCACCAAATGTCTTTTGTGCCATTTAAAGTGCCTCATGCCTGGTTTGTTGTGGTCAAAGCATAGCTAGAACAATGGAAAAAAAAATCCTTCCATGAATGATAAGGGGTTAAAAATTCAATTCTCTGTATATGAGCCAGTTTTCTTTTCTTCTAAACATACTAAAATGTTATTTATACCCAAATGAGCACCTTGTTTTACAAATAAGTGAATGCATTATTTCAATATAAAATTCAACAAGTGAGAATTACTTGCATTTTCTCATGAAAAATTAAAATAAAAGGCAGATAGTCATACTTACCAGCTGGCTCCCACTAAACCATTTTGTGGTGTTGGAGTACAGACAAATTACATGCTCTCCAGGTATGTGGGATGTGAATGTAAAATGGCCTTCAGTGCTGTACACCTTAGAAAGCATCACCTTGTCATCCGGGTCTCGTACTTCAACATGCATGCCAATTCCTGGGCTTGAAGGCATAAACCCACCAGTTTTAGGATCATAGAACTGACACTTGTAATTTCCTAATAACAAAATTTAACTTATGTTCATCAGTCAATACTAATTTAACAATTATAAAATTTAGCAGGGTAGGAGTCACTTTCAGTTCAGATAATTTTACTTTTCTAACAGTGGCTGGCCTTTGCAATTAGTTGCCTTCAAATGTAATGAATGCATAAAATCTAAGGGAGTTTATGGGAAGGTCCAATAAATAGTTAAATGAGCAGGCTGTATTTTAGTTGTTCTTTTTTTAAGTGAATGGGATAGCTTCAATATTTCAACAGTATCCTTGTTGTCCCTTAAATATTATGTTATACTTATAGAGTAATCATTACATAATTAGTTTTGAAGTTTTGCTGCATCTTAAGAGAAAAAGAAATGAAATTTTTCTTCATAAGTTTCAAAATGCCACTTATGAGGCAATGAGACAAGATTTATAATTAGTGGATTGGGATAATGAGTTAAAAGGTGATTTGGATAGATTTTTGAAAATAATTTTAAAGAAATTCCTCTTAATTCAAAATAGGTATGGTCCTAAACAAAAAAACAAACCAGAAAAGTAATAAGAAAGATCAAACCTAATTGGCTTACTGAAGACAAAATCAGGGGATAAATGCCATATATATAAGAAGTTTAACTAAGAGTTAAGGTAGAAAACTTATAGAGTTATAGAAGAATTTTGTGGAAAAAGAAATTAGGAAATTAAAATGGGTTTCTGTGAAACAGTTAACTGATAATGTTAAAACTAACAGAAAATATTTTTTAAACTATTTTAAAGGTAAGCAAAGTGTTAAAATGAGAATTAGGCCCTTAAAAGATGTTTGTGGCAAGTTTTTTGTTGAAAACTATGAAATTTCTGAGAATTTAAATATTATCTTTTATACTTATTTGATAAAATATTAGCAATATATCTCACCCTGAGCACTCTATAGGAAATATTGGAATTGACCCAAATCATGTATATACTGATCCTTTTGTTGTGAGTAGAAAAATTAGTTAAAAAACAGACAAAGCACAAGGACCAGAGAAGTGTTATTAGAAGGTCAAAGATCTGATATGCAAGCCTTTCTCTATAATTTTTGATAGGTCATTAGACAGTAGGATTGAACAGTTGTTAATGTTACTCATATTTTTGAATAGGGAGATCAGACTTGTCCTGGAAATTATAAGCCAGTTAGTCTCACATGTGTAGGGATAAAATTCTAGAGTCACTGAATCTGATAAAAGAGGCTTTCCAATGTCATGAAATAGGATATCATAAAAGAAAATCAATGTAGATTCACTGAAATAAAATCTTACCTTCCTAATCTGTTAACATTTTTCAAGAATGTTATTTGTTATCTGGATGGTGGAAATGATATGGACTTGGTTCACTTAGATTTTCAAAAAGTTTTTGATTAAGGTACCACACAAAATATTAGCTAAATAAATCACATAAGAGTTGAGGAATAACTAATTAACTGGATTTGTGTAGAAGCTGGATCAGAGAAATATATAAAGGAAAATGAAGAGATAATTACATCTTTTGACTTGTAATCAATGTCTATAAATACACCATATAATTCTGCTAACTTTACTTCTTACAACAGAGCACTGCCTCAATGGCTTGAGTGAATTGTCTATCACTAAGCCAAGATCTATTTCTTTAGTCATATTATTATATTAAATATGTGACCAAAATTATGATAACCCAAACATATTACATTCCATTTACTCTAATTAAAAGTCATCAACTAGTATTTGTCCAATTAGTAACTTATCTATGTGATTCTGTAGTATCTTGACACAACTAGAAATAGCTGTGAATTTAATATCATCAGAGAAGTTTACTAATTTACTATCCCTCTTTCAATATCAAAGGTCCAAGTACTGGCTCCTGTGGCACCATATTAACCTGTTGGTTGCTGGTGGGTCACATGACAACCAACATGTTAAGGATGTTTTTTTAGCCAAGAGAAAAAAGAAGAAAGAAAGATCATTGGATATTTTGCTCTAAACTGGCCATTACTAACAGTCAGATCATGATGTACCTACATCAATGTGAAGCAAATAGTTTAGAATTTACATTTGAAAATTTGGCTAACTTTGCATCAAAATATGTGCCATGATCTCTCACAATGTTCACAAATGTGTATAGTTATGTTAAGTATTTATTACACTCTATTGTGATTTCACCATCATTAACCAAGTAGATATATCTCACCCTGAGTCATAACTATTTACTCTACTACAATAAGTTTGATATCTCTTATATTCAATTTATCAGATTACATGTTATTTGTTTGTTTGTTTTGAATTTCGCGCAAAGCTACACGAGGGCTATCTGCACTAGCCGTCCCTAATTTAGCAGTGTAAGACTAGAGGGAAGGCAGCTAGTCATCACCACCCACAGCCAACTCTTGAGTTACTCTTTTACCAATGAATAGTGGGATTGACCGTCACATTATAACGCCTCCACGGCTGAAAGGGCGAGCACGTTTGGTGTGACAGGGATTCGAACCCGCGACCCTCAGATTGCGAGTCGAGTGCCTTAACCACCTGGCCATGCCGGGCCCATGTTATCTGTAAAAACCAAGAGGATATGTCACAGTCAACAAAATTACACACTCAATTTGAAATGTAAACCTGTTGTTAGGTGCATCTTGAACTCAATTTTAGCTTAGTTACTAGTGCAAACTTATCACATTTGTGGCTCAAAATTAAAATATGTGTATGACGTCAATTTCTTTTTTTTTCATTATATTATCAATGTATATATCAAAATGAAAATTTAAAAAATAATTACATTTCTCTGTTGACAGTGAGTGTTGTATAATGTAGCCCAAAACTTATGCCATGGATATTTTCCGACTTAACCGTTTTCTGTAATCACTAATTTACCTCACCTTCCATGTTCTGGTAGTTGTAGTGATACTGACTGCAAATAGAACAGTTCAAAAGCAGCCCTAACTTCCAAAGCCTAAACGTTGGGTTCCTTGCGATGAGTACATGATACAAAACATTTTTGTAAATTGTAGTATTCCGTAATAACTTTCAAATTATAGTCGTCTGAATTAATGATAATAATAACTGAAAACTAAGATCTAGTAATCAAGACTAGTAAATCCCATACTTTGGTAATATTTAACATTTTGTTCCCTTACCAACAACCATAGTTTCGTCAGGTATTTCTTCAATGAAACACTTTCTTTCTGTTTCTGTAATATGGAAATACAGTCCATCTACAATATATAAAAGGCATGACATTGACACAAGAAAAATAGTGGTATATAAACTGGGTAAAATGTTACTCTTCATTTTAAATTATCAACGTATATCGCAGAATCAATTAAATGTTATAACACCGACAAATATTCCTAACGTTACACAGCTCCCGGTATGTCATGTCATATAGATGGCTCTGTGCCACGTTATTCATTCATGCCATCTAACTAGAATATTTCTAAAAAAAAAAGTTGAATGTAATAAAATAAAATTATCAAATTATAATATATATATAAAGAGAGAGAAAACGAAGAGGGAAGTTTAAAATTTATTTTGAAATCCACTTAAGCTTGTAAGTAATATAACAAAATAAAGAAGTAAAACTCAAAATTAAAATTTTAATTCAGTACTCAATAGAAAAGCGTTTTTACATTTCAAAACTGTTAAGTCTGATAGAAAACTACGTTAAGCAATAATTCAAAAATGGGTAGTTGAGGTTTAAGAGCAATTCCAATGTTGCAAAAATGTTAATATTCATTATTGAAATAGAACGATTGATCTTGAACTCGTGCTTCTTTATTTTATTATAGATAGATAGGTTAAATGTCAATATGTTTGACACATAAATCATGAATTGAAGTTATGCGTACTTACCTTGGTAAATATTATTCAATATAAATGCAACAATATTACCATTACTTAGGCTTTAGTTAACAATATACAAACAGGTGATATGACATCTTAAAGTTTTAGCAACTGAGGTCATCCTGCATACCAAAATAAACACCAAATAACATCTTATTATGAGTAAATTTTCTCATTCACATACCTACAAAACAGTTGCTCTTCCGCGTCTCTGAAAGTAGGGTCGAGGACGGGTATTTTTTGTTAGAGGGGAAGAGTGTAGACGTATAAGTTGTTAAAAAGTGACTTACAAGCAAACGCTAGTAAGTTAATTGTTTAGTTCAAATAGTAGAGTACTCAACTGGTGTGGTACAATATTGCACCATGTGTTTTCTACTCCCTTACTTAATATGTAAATATTTTCTAAATTTCCGTGTTTTCATTCAGTTAGGTATGATTGTGAAAACATACTCGAGTAATTACATCTTAACTTCACTTCTTGCTGGTTTTGTTTGGGGCATCTCCTTCGCTAATTTCCAATTAACCGAATTTGTTGTGGGGGAATATAACAGGTGACATCTATAAGTAGAAAGTTGTCTTTCCATTCAGCAAATCGGGATTTAACTCAAGGTTTCACCTGCTCTAGCCCGAGTGGATAAAGATCATGTGCATAATAACGTTTAATATGCAAACCTGGTGTTAGTTGTCACTGCATGTTTTATATTGAAAGTGAGATTTTCTTTTGTTTAGCAGACTTTTCACACATTTTTCTGAACTTTTAAATTTAAGACTTTACTGTAACTTCAACTTTACTTTTGCTGTTATATATATATATAATATTGTTACGTCTCCGTTCGTTAGTTAATTTTCCCGTAAATTCTTTCCGACTGAACTTTAGCGACACAAGTCCTTTCTTAAATAAAACTGGTTTATTCTTTCCGAATACAACTTTACGATACACTTAATTGCAACGCGATAACTCACGACTCACGTGGCCAACAATATTCTGTCCGCATACATTCAATTACTCATTACACTGTTGTTCCGTCACGTTGTGACCG